AAAAATCCCGGACAGCAAGCATGGATGTGGCATGCGGCTTGCTTTAACCCAACCCTCTTCTGGCACCCTGTCATTTTCTGCCTGTACAATGAATATCGTTGTCCAGTACCAGTTGTTCAATATCACAATGATATGTATCGACTATGAATGGTTCATACGATGACTGTGACACAACAAAATGCTTGCAAATCTGATTACACACCAGACCGCCCCAGAGCTAGTTAAGACAACTTTGCCTGTGATGGAACTAATTTCTTGAAACTGGACGACAATAAACCAGCAATTTTTAAAACAGACTTTGCGGGTAATATCATTTCCAATGGGTGTACTGTATGACAGTATGACCCACTATGACAACCACTACTACCACCACCACTACTGCTGTTATTACTACTACTACTACTACCACCACTACTACTACTACTCTTACTACTAGTAGTCGTCGTCATAGTAGTAGTAGCTAGTAGCTAGTAGTAGCTAGTAGCTACTACTCCTGCTGGCTACCACTACTGGTTACTACCACTGACCAGCAGTTGGACATCTATGACTATGACTATTACTTACTTTATCTTATTGATTACATACTTAGTTTAGTGCTGGTAGACTTCTATAGCTTGTAACTTATAGACTATAGACGCTGCATAGACTAGCAAATTATAGTTTAGTTTGTTTACCTTGTGACCTCTACAACTTACGTTTTCGCATTTTTTGATTGTCAAGGATTGTTTCCATAATATATATCACATTTGAATGTGGCACAAGGGTATGGTTTGATGATTCAATTGGTATGGCTTGATTTGAGGGAAACAATACTGACACGTACAGAAGGTTGTTATTCCGCATTACTCTCACCCCGTCAGGAATGGAGGGGAGTGGGTGGGATGCCAGCCAGAAAGAAGCATCTTCCATCTATGTTTACTTTTTTCGCGCAGCTACAAGTGTGCACACGCCTCTGGAGACGACAGCACTTGCTTTACTCTACCTACCCTCTTTGTTTGGCTCGGTTCGCCAACAACAATGTTCCGGATGCAGAGAAGGAACAAATATATGCAAACTTGGTTAGCGTGCCCGATTGCTGTCTTGATGAGGGGTGTTCCCTGCGGTTGAGATCTTTGGAAACTCTCAAGCGTGATTTACCTTCGATCGTTGATTCCCTGAGCATTCAGAAGCCGCTGAATGCAGAGATTGAGGACAATTTTGCACGGCATCAGTCTGCGGCGGTCCCATCCAGAGGATGCTTGGTGAGTACTTCCCCAATTGTTTCGTCCCTTTCCAGCAAGCTAAAAGCGTGTTTTAAATGGTTACTTATACAGCGTGTTCAAACTATTGGCTATTTATGCAGGCCACTGTACACATTTTAACGTGTAAACTCTCATTACGGTGGCTCACGAAGCACAATGTGATGTGCAACTTAAATCGAATATGGCATGTCTTACTTCTACTGCTAGGATATGGCTATAGGCTATAGGCTATAAGGCTTTGCGCTTCTTGATGTTCATTCCACAGGTCACATAACATATCCATCAAGCATGTGTTTTATGCATCAAACCAAGTCAACCCAGACTATAGAAAATAAATAGACTACTATAAAGTTTGTACTACGGACGACTATGGCTTAACTAGAATTGTTTGACTATAGACTATAGACTATAGCTACAACAAGAACTTAGACTTTGTTTTTTCACGCTAGTTACCTTTAACTTTTGCAGTTGATGTTTAATAGAATAGTAATTATTGTACACGACTCATTCTGATATGATTCGATATGGTTGTAGTAAGATTTCTTCTTATAGATTATAAGCACCTACTTTGACTGAGGAAAGCCAGTGGGACTTGCCAACAACGCAGCAAAGCATATCTTGGCAGAGCTGAAGTCTGATCATGTATGCCACAATGCTCCCTTCTCTCGCGAGTCGAAAGGGCGGAATGAGTCTATTCCCCGTGCTGCAGGATGTGACTGGTCACAAGAAGTCTTGCAGTTGATCGCCAGTGACAAATACGAGAACGGGTACCTCCCTTTACCAGCACCAAGAGCAAATGGTTCAGCAGGTATGGTTCCAGCCGAGAAGTCTCAGACTGATGGTTGCTCTTTTGAGGTCATACAGAATATCGTTGATGCTGTGGACACGTTGGATACTACACAAGGACCAGTTGGAAAAAAATCATCGGAAGCGTGCTTTACCAGTGCAGGAGAGTATCGACCGTATTGTGGGCGACTTCAACCCATCTGATGTCGCAGCGGGGTCAAAGAATGTCGCTCAGTCCCGAGTGACTGGTTGGACTCTTCATCTGGCGCGGACTTGGAAGTCAGTATGCCGGCTAGCTGGAGAGACGAAGAAAGACTAGCAGAAGCGCGTGCAGGTTCAAGCAAAGCAAACTTGGCACGACGCCTGTAAGCAGTAAGCAGTTCCTTTGACTTAAGTGTTGTTGTTTGTTTGTGTGTCCACAGTAAGAACAGCAAATGTGCCTTGAGTAGGGATATGGGGACAAAAGGGATACAGGCCGGGGAATACAAGGGATACTGAGACAAAAGAGATGCAGGGACAAAAGGAATACAGTCACAAAAATGATACAGGCAAAAGGAATACGAGGAGGACACGGAAACAAAAAGGGAATGAATGGACAAAAGAGCTGAGACAATGATATGGTGATGAACAGGAATACTACAGTAATATTTAGTAGTATTAATACTGTAATAGTAATAGTAATACTGTTACAAATACGGTGGATTGAAACGGGATACTGGGACAAAAGGTGATAGGTAGGAGACAAAAGGGGTACGGGGACAAAAGGAACACGGGGACAAAGGGGACACAGGGACAAGAGGAGTACATAAAATGAAAGGGACGTGTCCGGGATAAAAGGTTCGTTCAAAAAGGGATAGGAGATGATAGGAGACAAAAGAGACACAAAGACAAACGGGATACAGGGCCAAAGAGGATATGGGGACACAAGGAATACGGGGATGAAAGGAATATTGCGATATGGACGGATATAGAATGATATATAGACGAATGGGTTAAAAGGGTTTTGGGATACAAATTTTACAAAATATCATGACTTCTGAGGTGGGAAGATGATCAGTATGATTTTTTGAGTATGTTTAAAATCCGTTTGTTGTTAAATAAATCAATATATTTATATTACATGAAATATCGTTATGGTGCATGTGCTGCATGTTGTTCTTTTTTTGCCATAGTGAGGAAGATCCTGAACTGCGGAAGAGGGCATCAAACGAAGCGGTGCGGCTGAATGGCTCTGGCGCAAGACAGCCATCTGATGACAACACCCTACACACAGTGACTTCTACGTTGCTTGGTCTCGGGGATAAAGACTACCCGCTGGCAGAGGACGTTTTGAGAAACTACTCAAATCAAAAAGCTGCAGTGATGAAGCAAAGTGCATCATGGAATTTGGAACATGGTACAGTGCAAGAAGGGAATGACATCCCTGATGTGCCTGCGCGGATGGTATGCTCTGACATTTGCAGGTCTCGAGTTGCTGAGACAGGCAAGAAGGCGCCAGACACATTCCTTCGGGTCAAGGGCCTGTTGCGGAACATTTGCCGGTCGATGAAAGAGCAGGTGGCTGACAGCAAGAGACATCTCAGTCCAAGCTTGAGACACCCAATACTCCTTGGCAAAACCAACACAGAGATCAAAGCATGGCTTATCACCCAGCCTACGTTTAAGCCTTTGACCTTTGACGCTGTGCATTTGTCATATTGCTCTCCCACCCTTCTGCGATTTGAAACTGAGACTGTTGGCGGGCATCGGGTTCTGAAGTTTTGCAGCGCTGACCGTGTTGCGATGGATCTGACTGAGATGTCAGTGGCGCCTGCGAGTGGCTCACTATCATATTGCTTCACACGGGCCTATTCCCTTAGGATTGACACCGAGCTGGCTGATCTACATTTGAGTCATGATTCTTTGGGGTGGGTTAACTTGGACGATCTTGACCCTGATGATGGTGATGAAGAAAATGATGAGGATGATGATGGACCTGGAGATGGCGTTGACGATGTCAAGGATTTGATCAAGTCATTAAATGGTGGCACTGGCTCTGGCAAGAAGAAATCCAGTCAGTCAGGCATGACCTGTTCTGTTTTACAGTAACAACTACTGTACCACATAATCTCTTTTGTAGGCACTCCAAGCATTAGCTGTAGTAGTAGTAACAGCTCGACTGGCTGAGCATTCATAACTCCTAAGCTACATGGAGAGTTTTTGTGGGTAACGGTTGAATCTAACATAACTTGACTACATGCATTTAGTTTCTCTATTAAAAAAATATGTGTGTGTGTGTGTTAAAGTTATATATTATATTATATATGTGTCTATTCTTTTTATGTTGTTGTTCAGTGTCAGCATTGGGGTAACTGGGACTGCTGGTGAGTCATAAGGTATGAATAAGGTAAGTTTGCCCCTGCTCAATTGTTGGGTTAATTGTTTTGCCGCCCTCAGAACAAGAGGACACAACAACTAACACAAAAAAACAATTAACACTGTCTCTTATGTGACTTATGTAGTTCTGACACCGCACTGCTTTGTCTATGCCGTTGTATGATCCACGCTGCCATGCTAAGTTCCTTCCACTTTGACAGTTGCCTCACTGCTGAGGGCATTGTGTATGCGGCATAAGTGTGCCAGCGGCATAGAACATTCTGAAGATTCCAATACTAACGATGGTTCTAAAGCTGTAATTGGAGCAAACACAGGGTGTGATGCTGTTGGCTTAGGTGTTGAATATTGTGTACACCTCTTTGCAAAAGAAACACAATGATATCAGTGATATCGTATCAGTAATATCATGAAACATGAATATCTTAGAATAAATAGTGATCCCACTAGTTTGCAAAGTGTGCTACTTCAATAACGCTTGCTCTTTCCGCTGTTGCAGAATATGGAGGGCTGTGCAAAGCATGGAGTGTTTGCTCTTGTTGATTTATCTTTCTTGTCATAGATGATTTTCTACAACGTGCAAATCATACTAATGAATTGTGATGTTATGAGTTATGAATCATTAAGAACTTGCAATGTGAATGAATCAATAGTTTGTCAGTCAACTGTTTCGGATGTGGACAAACACACCTAGCTTCAGTCTAGACCCTCCAACCCCTCCGTCCAACAGAGGGAATGTGGAGCCATGCTGCAGACTACAGTTGCCTCCTCAATACACATCCCTAACTAGCTTTACTTTGACCATTCCCGATCTCACTCTGCACATACAGCCCTCTTTAGTGTAATGGATGCCTATTCTAGGGAGGTGATAGTGGCTTTGGGTCAGGGTCATTTTCACTGTCCAGCAGGTCAACATCGGTGCGCCACTCATTTAAATTACCAGTGAAGTGTCAAGCTGGTTTGTGGGGGCAACAACAAAGACATAACGCTCCTCATTCAGGTATTTGCTGACACAATAATATAATGAATAATATAGTTCATTCCTTGTGATCTGTGCCGACGTGTGATGATCCCTGGCGGGGCCAGGATGCCAAAAGACTGGCGCACCCAAGACCGCCACAGCAAACAAGGACAACGAGGACGAAGGTTTGCTGAAGGTGTGGCTAGATGCTTGGGAGGAACAGCTAGGACATGCCAGTTGCTTTTGCTTCCCAAATGGAGTGAAAACCAAGCCTCCAACGATCACCAAGTCTTCAAAGCAGGTGCCTCTCTATGTTTATTACCCTCCCGCAAACTAACGTGGAACCTCGGAATTGACCGATGGAAAAACTGTTCCCTCTACAACCAACTGGTTTTGGGGGGGTCCATGTTAATCTGCAGGGGGAGTACATTTTTTTCTTTGTATTTATGTGATATGATTTGATATGTTACATATGTTCTTTGAACTTGGAAAGACCATTAGGAAGGCCTTCATATTATCTTTGTTCGATTTCAATTGACAAGGAGTTCCGTGTGTCAATATGTGTTGTTGGCCATCACCTCAATACCCACACCAATCTGATCCTCTGTTGTGCAAGGTGCCCTCAAGTTCATCAGTATTTGCGAGTGCGAGAGCTTCAGCTTCCTCTTCCTCCAGCAAGATCAGCAAGGCACAGGTTAAATCCGGACGTGAGCCTCGTGTTCCACCTTATTTCATGGACGACAAGGGCTATGTCTATGTGCAGGAACATGTTGATGACAAATCAATATGTGTTGGAGTCTTTACTTCAACTTCAAATACTTGGTTTTCTAGTTTTAGACACATGGTTTTAAACAGTTAAACGGACAAAAGGTCAAACAGGAGAGGAAATTTGGAGAGACATGGTATCACTCTACCCCCCCCCCCAAAAAAAAAGAACAAAAAGAAAAACAAAGAAGCTATCTTCTATCTAAAGAAAGTATATATTATATATTTATTTATGTAATACTAGTTTGTACTACCCACAACTGCCAGCTCTGCTTACAACCACAATGTTCTAAGGTCGCATTACAGAGATGAAAAAGGCAACACCACAACATGCAATCTCCGCGAAGTGCTACTTGCACCAATGCAGTGTTCTCAAGATTGCCAAATCTTTGCCAGTGAATGCCTTTGAGAAGATTATGATCTGGCTATACGAGGGGCACGTTCGAGCATTGAAAGGGACTGACAAAATGGAGCACACCAAAATGTTTTGGGTGCCTTCGACAGTTCTGGAAATGGTTGTATGTGCTAAATGCTATATGATGTGTCTATGTGTCTAATAGACTCTATATCACATGTGCTGTGATTCAGTGATCGTGAACCAATCAAAAGATCCTGTGATGTTTTGTTGGTTAGTTGTTTTTTCTGTGTATGCCAAACCATATCTGCGGGTCTAGGCAATGGTGGCAGCATGACAAGACAACGACGGGAAAATGAGACGTTATTCGTGGCAATTCATTGCAGGAGAATTTACAAGGAGTTGGAGGAAAAAAAAGAGGTTGTTGGAGAGTTGGAAAATGAAGTTCCAGACAGTGTTGTTGGTTTGCAGAAGAATTCAGTTCACATGCCATGATATACTTTGGTTCATTGCTTGTACGCACGCACACACATGTTCATCCACATGCGCACATGCATGTTCACATGCATGTTCACATGTACACATGCATGTTCACATGCACGCTTAGTCGTTCACATGTTCACTTTTGCCTCTGTTCAGTTTTAAGAGGTACTTTTAACAAAATAAGGCCTTATTTTTACAAAACCACCTCTTAAAAGTGAACATAGCACACAATGAACATATGCACATATGAACAAGCAAATGAACATGCCAATGCGCGGGTGAGCGCGCAAGTGAACGTGCGAGTGCGCAGTCTAGTGAACAATTGAGCGAACGGTTTGCTGATGATGTTCTCTGACCAGCTGCATTTACATCTCAAACAAATCTTGCCTTTTTTTTGTGACTTGAGTTGGTTTCCAAACCAATCACGTGTCAGTGTGATTTGCAATGGCGAGTTCGAACCCAAAAGCGCCTTCACCACCTGACAGTATAACCCTCCCAGAGGGTTATATTGCTTTGAGAGACTTGTATTGTATATCATATACTATGTATTTTCTATGTTGTATTACTATGTGCTATGTGCATTTTGGGTTTTGTTTTCTCGAACAAAAGGGTCATATAACATGTATGTATATACACGTTTCGTGTAGCCAAGGGTGCCAATTCTGCTTATGCTGGACAACCGAGAAATGTCCGGTGCCACGATCCTCCTATGTGGAGCGTTGGTTTCCACTGATGCCGTGGGGGGGGTGGGACGTGGGATTGTCCAAAAGGGCCAAATTGTCTACTGTGTGTCAATGCTACTTGGCAAGTGTCTGTCTGTTCTTTGACGATGTTTTTGTCACATGTTATTGTCCCTCTCTCTCTCTGAACTGTTTTTTTAGGTTCACAGCGGAGGAGGTTGGGAATTGGAATTGGGCTCTATGAAGAAGTGTGCCATACATTTCAAACAGAACCCTACCAGGCTGCACGCGTGGTTTTGGTTGCACATAGTAGTGCAGCAGCATCAATGTAATATATGTGCTGACTTGTTGCTGTGTGTACTGTTTTCAGTTAGACTTGCGATAGTCACCTGAACTTAGGTGGATTAGACAAAGGACTTGTTTGATAGAACTCCGGATTGCGAATCCTAATTGCCGCATCCGCGATGCCTCACAGTTGGGACCAAGAACGAGCCTGGTCTTAAATGTTCAACATCGGTGTTGAATTCTCACACAGCTGCCACAAACATACAAGCACAAACACACATCATGTCCTCACTTAAGGACAGTGGAGATCCATGAGGACAATGCTGATGAGCTAACGGCTCCATTACAGTTCTTCATTGAATTGTCGGTCTATACTTCACTTGTCTCAAAGCCTGATGACAGCAAAATTGAATACAAGAAGTTCCAGGGGGGCTCAAGTGCCAGGAGTTTCTTGGCTTTTGAAAGAGGTACTTAGTTAGCATCGCCGATCGCTACAAACATAGACCAAGACCCATAAAGACACGAACATAGACCAAGACTATTATACTGTTCTGTACACCTGTATGACTCAGGTGACAGTGTGTGGTCGACATTGGTCACAGATGTGGGATGATGGGCAACACGGTATCTACCGACTCGAGGCAAAAAAGCACCACCACAGTCAAGCGCAAGCATGAGCTCATAGACAATGATGCTTTGCAATTAGTGGATGGATTAGTGGATAAGACATATGAACATGCCAAAAGGGCTGTCCTGAGTGATCAGACACGGCGTGTCACCAACACTCCATCTATGAGCGCCCTGTCCAACATCTCCAAGCTTCTCGACAAGGATGATGAGAATGACGTTGATGATGTACACCATTCAGACACCAAGTCTACCGTACGTGGCCATACACCTTCCCAACCTGTTCAAGGTCAAACTCCAAGCGATGAAAGGCCTTCTGCTATTGCACTCTTGGCTTCCTTCAAGCCATCTTCACATGAGAAGGAGAACAAGATCCCAGAGGCCAAGCCAAAAGGCAAAGCAGGTGCCAAACCAAAGTCAGGACCGAAAAAGAGAACCGATGGAACCACAGGTGATGATGAAACTGGGGCCAAAAAAAGCACGTCTCATCACATCATTGGAACCAGTTGCAGCACCAGGCAAGACACATAGAACAGACAATGTGGCTGCTTCCAACCAGATGGCGGAGGCAGACAAGACATGGCTGGACAATGCCAAAGCCAGCTTAAGGGCTGCACTCAGCATCCAGCCTGGCAATGAAGACCTTGAGATGAAGAATTGCCTGGCCGACAGCCTCAAGAGGGCGACATCACTGATGACAAGTGTGCGGGCTCGGAAGAGAAGCCTCAAAAGACGAACAGAGGAGACACGAGAGGGAGCTATGAACGACGCCACAGAGATTGAGGAACAACTACAACTCTTGATTGACTTTGTCAAGCTGATGCAAAAGCCGTGCTCAACTAGTCATGGCAATGTTGGGGACCTTTGCTATGCCAAGATCGACATGCTGGTTGACCACGGCGGCAACTTCAGCCCGTCCGTGTTCAAGATGGTTACTCGCATGATGTGGCTGGATGACTTGAAATGGAAGAGATGGGAAGAGATGCAGGAAGTCACATTCAAATTCATTCAACGAAGTTGCTCAGGAATGGACTGCGTTGCTTTTATGGTTCAGTGTATGAATGTGAACCTGCAGAAACTTCTCAAGGCCATTCCATTAGAGCAGGTTACTCGCCTGCAAAACAAAACTCTGTGTGTGTTGTGTAAATCAACTGAGTATGCTGTGAGCCGATCGAAATTAAATGTTTGATGGGGAACGATTCATTGAGTTGTTGTTTCATCAATGCTTCAGCCAGTTGCTATTATTTTTTCCATCTCAGGTTAGTCTGGAGCCCTCCGAGTCTATTGAAGCTTCCTTTGAACCATTGGTGACCTTTGTGGAGAAGATGTCTTTCGTGGAAAAACTGCCCGACAAGCAATCTTCAGAGGATTTTGGTCACATTTTGAGCATTCTGAAGGCATCATCAACAAGCCCGACAAAAAACATCCAAAGCCGTGCAGGAGGTAAAGGAATCAGCTTCAGCAGATCGCATGATTCTGGCAACCTTCAATGCTTTGCCCCAGGGCAAGCGGTTCTTGGAGTTGGCAGATGAGTCGTGTCAAAAGAAGCTGAAGGCCAATGAGCACCTATTGAAGTTTGATACTGTGCGGGCAGAGTGCGCAGCGTTCTCGGAATCCTTCGATTCAGGTCGCCAGCCACCTGATATGAAGATGTTGGTGGATGAATCATGGCGGTTGGCTAAGGAGTATGCCGCAGCAGCTTCATCCCCAAGTGTTGGGCTTGACTCAACACATGCCTCCACAGTGGCTGCCAAGAAGGATGCATCCAATGCCCTCTCCGAGTTCATAGCGGACCTTGCCAAGTCTCATTTGGCAACAGAAAGTCTCGAGTGGGTAGGACAGCAATGTCGGAGGGCAGAGAAGGAAGAGAATGACACCGTATTTTCCTTGGACAGTGTTCCAGCATGGCACATTTTGCGGTTGCGTGGTGTGGAAGCCAAATATGCTTCCGGTGCAGAAGAACTGATTTGCCTTGTCATCACCTTCCATGATGCAACTGCTGAGCTTGGTAAGTGTTTGAATGCTGCTTTTGCAGAAGCAG